TGTCATAACTGTTTGAGGTTAGGGGGCATCTTGCTCGGAAAGGCTAATTTATTGCTGCTGCTGCTGTGGTTGTTGTTGTTGTTGTTGTTGTTGTTGTTGTTGTTGTTGTTGGAACTTTTATATCAAGGTCGATCGAGAGAATCATTCGTGTCCGAAAAGATTTCCACTGGCTTGATCTGCTCACTTACTACTACCACTCATCATCCTAGACTCGCGTTAATAATATGGACGAGGTGGTCGAGCTGAAGTCGATCTTCCATGGATGGCCCCTCTGCGCCTCGCTTGTATTATAACCAACACAGAGTATCGAGCAGAGAGTTCCCTCATGCGATTGCCGAGGAGTAGGGACGCAGGTGATGCTGTTGTTGCGAGATGCGAGGCCTCAGGATATCAAGTACGTATTTGTGATAGTGCGTGTTGTTGTTGGTCCTGCTTGAAATTGTCGAGAAAAGCCAGACCAGGGTTCTACTTGAAATTTTCGAGAAAATGATAACCAGTGTTCGCCGAAAAATGTTGGTTTGATTCTTCTCGCACTATAGCTAACAATTGTTCGCTACTGTCAAATGTGATTACTCGATCGAATTGGTTGTCGTTAAATGATAATTGTGAGTAATCGCCCTAGTCATATTATGTGGTGTTCTAGGTGTACATGCATTTGGCTGACTTGGTTCGGGAAGACCTCGTGCGTGAGTTGGGACAGCTATTGAGGCAGATGCAACATATGGTAGATGGAGAGGGTTACTCTGGGATGCAGCTGTTGGTGGCGTACTGTGGTCATGGAGCTGAGGATGGGCTTGTTGTAATACCAAGGGCAGGGATGTTGAACTGTAGTAGCTTTAGTGATCTGATACGTTTGCTTATAAACTATGACGATGAGTGTTGACTGGCAAGAGGACATAGTGAGGGGTTGATTTTAGAGCTGGGCTACTTTTCCAGATTCGTTGCGTGGATGGTAGCACTATGAATCTCACGTATGACTTCTTGTTGCCACTTCAACGAGTACTGGTTGGTTGTAACGTCAGCGTAATGGTGATATGTGATTGTTGTCGTCCATATAGCAACGAGGCGAGGATAGAGGCTAGGATGAGTAAGATGAAGCGAGCGAGGAGTATGCGGCTTCTGCCGAGTCTACGAGAAGATCATCGAGAAAATGATGCGTTGCAGGTGGAGTTTGGAATTTTACGGCGCGCGAAAATTTTTGACCGCCTTGACCCTAGGCAACCTAAAATGATTTTTATTTTCGGCAATAGTCCGGGCCGGCGATGTTGGGATGCGATATTACTCCGAGCCTTCGCTCAGCTCCCAAAGGGTCGGCCCTTGGGGAGACTGTTGAGGCCCTGGTCGATTGAGGTGGCCAGGCTCTCTGTTTACCATCAGAGGCTCTGTGTAGTGCAAGACGACTCTGACCGAGGAGTGGTTGAGCTTGTATGGTGAGGAGTTGCTGTTGTGTAGACTGTGGTGACGCTAGAAGGATGACTGAGTGCTTCAATGGGACCGGCGCCTCTTGTGGTGTTCGAAGCTGTTGAGTCCTTCCCTACCCCCTGTGCATGTGAGTGTATTGTTGGCTATGTGGTGTTTTTATGTTACTCTGCTCGGTGTTGGATTTGTGTTATAGTGGCTTAGGGGGTCTGTAGACTTGATCGATTTGATGCCAGCAGCTCCAGAACCTTCCGAAGGCGATCAGAGGGAAATATACCTCTGGGCTCCCTTCTATCTCATCAACTATGCTATTTTCCTTTTAATAATCGCATTGCATGTACTGGTTTATTTTCGAAGTCGCGGAAAGTCCCGGATTGATGGTAACGTTATATTGACGGTTTGGGGGTGGACCTGATTCGTCAGGGCACATGGTTGACCTTCCCACAGAGGGGGTGGCTCAGCGAGGGTACCGAAGGGACTATTTGGGCACTGGTGTGAAGTGGCTGGGAGTATTGTGGTTGCTGTGGCTTCAGCTGAGCTTGCTGTTACTCGTCATTGGACAGTAATTTAATCGAACATTTGGAAACTGGTCATCTCGAGAGAGCTCGTAGGTATAACGGTGCTTGGCCGTTCTATTCCGTGGATCTCGAACCAACTTGGAACAGCTACACACGAGGGTTCCTGGCTGCTTGGGTGGGCTGAGCTTGGGAATCCTGTCGCTTCTTCGATCACCTGTTTATCAGGTCACTAGTACGACAGCTCTTATGCTCCTCAAGAGGTTTGAATACTTCTTCAGCACGCTGTATTTACTACCGTGTGAGCTTATCTTGGCTGAGTAGGTGTGGGGGTATATTTCTGTGTATGATGATGGTCTCTATGATTAGTTATGTGATGATGACTGCTACGACTGTTGATGAGTGCGGTGGTGGAGTTATTCGTCATTCTGATCTATGCAAAGTTGAGGTCAGTCCACCGTTTTGATCGATCGATTCGGTGTGATCTTCGTGGTGAATGCAGTCATGAGCTAATGCGAAGGAACTCGGTGAAGTTTTGAGTGACTCGAGGCGACGAATCTGGAGCGGGTTCGTCTCTCGGTGAGGATTGTCATGACCTATCTCATAGAAGTTCTGTGGTAGATCTCCGCTTATGTTGGGATCTCGCGCCAGATTGGACGCTGGAGTTCGATCCCGGTTCGATTCCTGGGTTGGACATTTTTCCGTCAAAGATGTTTTTATATTTATATATTTCTTGAATCTGTGTGCGTGGTCGAGCTATTCGATCTTTACACATACAGGACTCATCTGATTTATATGATGCCTTTAGACGGCGTCTCATGGGCACTTAGTAGTCAGAATAGCTCTGCACACGCACGCACGCACAACGCGAAGATGCTTGCTATTGCAGTACATGCGCAGCTGGCTTTGCGCGGAGGATCATCATTATTAGGAGTATTTACTGTCTTGTCTTAGAGTGCAATAGGCGCCGCCAGATGGGTGACCTTTCAACTTCGCCGCTACACTTGGAACACCGATAGAGGAGTTGCACCGGCCGCGTTCGACGCGGTCTCTATATTCGATCGGAGAGGACCGACTGCTAGACAGGTAGAGTGGGAGGTCGCGGGTTCGATCCCTGGTCATTGCATTACTTGTAGGTTCATGGATACGAAAACGGTTATAACTTGAGCACAGTGACTGCTATTCTCAACAGACATGGACGTAACGAGATTGTGATCCCAGTACCTACCTTCATTAGGGCCGCGGTAAGGTCAATCCGTTGGCATTCATCACGAGGTGCCTGGTTTCAGGGCATGGAGTATTTCAACTACTTCTATATATATCAACTATGTGCTGTATGGCTCACGGTTTATTGGGATTATGTTACCTACGGCCTCTTGTTGGCCCTGTTGGCTACAGCAAGCGGCTTGCTCAAGGTGCCGCGCGGGAGGAAAGCTCATTAACGAGTTTTACCCGCTAACTGCTCGTGTTCAGGTCTACACGGAGCGAAGACAGCGTTGTGAGCTTCGCAACATGGCCAGGGTCAACGGTGCTGTTTGGGCTAAGCGTAATGATAGTTGGAGGAGAACGACGAGTGACCTGTTGGTTCAGGGGGTAATGATAGTAGTCTTGTAAGTTGAGGCTCAACAGCTTCGCTCCGCCTTTTTCAGGATGTAATAGCGCTGTTGAACGATGACGATGCGAGGGAGAATGCGGCCCTTCTGTCGGTCGATGCGGTGGTCATCAGAGGCAATGCGGTAGTTGATGAGAGTCTGCTTACAGGAGAGACCATGCCCATACAGAAATATCAGGTTGGTGTAGATCCATCTCATTTGCACAGACAGCGTGTAGGTACCGTCACCGGTAGCTGATCCTGACACGGCAGACCTCCCGAGAAGTCCCGAGACTGGGAATAAGAAGCACTATGTCTTTGCTGGCACGAAGCTACTATCGGCTACAGGAGTATCTAAGAGTGATCTCCCCTCAGCGTCCTCTGGGATTGGTAGGCTCTACTGGCAGGCTTGTGGCATGGTCTTGTGTGGCAGGCTGTTTGCTGGTCGTCACTCATACATCTGCCGAAACACTGCGAGGTAGCCTCCTGCGTACTCTGTTATTTGGTGCACCACTGAAGCTGACCTGGGCTCGGGAGATCCGCATCGTCCTCGGCATATTGATAACTTTTGGTCTGGTGGAGTTCCTCATCCTCAACGCGCAGTATTCCTTCAGCATGGGTAGCATCCTCACGGCCTGCTTCTCTATAGTGGGTATGATCAACCCTCTGCTCAGCATAGCGGTAGCGAGGTGGATGCTATTTCGTATCTTGCATGGTCCAACCTTGCTAGATTCTCGGTGGTCAACTTGCTGCTGCCTCGAGACTACGATCCAACAAGTCTGGACGGTTCCGGCTCATTGGTAGGAGTGCGAAGGAGCGAGGTGAGTATGGTGTGAATGGTCGGAAGAGTGGGTCACAGCTTTAGTTTTTGTTAGACTCTCGAGCGGCCTTCGCCAACTGTGATGATGAGGGAGATATCGGGGGCAATCTCCGTGTATATTGCATGGATGTTGAACGACTGACCCTCACTGGTGTGGTTGGGTAGTATGTCCTTAGTGGTATATGCTCCTATTGTAGGCCGCCTCAGCCAAATGTGTTTCGACAAGACGGGAACTCTGACCAAGACTGGTCTGGACTTCGTGGGGATCGTCAGAGTGGATGCCCACAAGTAAGTGGCGGGTTGGTGTTCTCTGTGATGAGTTCATATGGAGGCCCACTGCCCAACCGAAGTTGCTATCGTTCTCTGGAGGACCTCCGACGAGTGGGATGGAAGGCCTACTTGGTCCTGGTCTGGCCCTCACCCACACGGTCAGCGTCGTCGGAGCTAAGCAGCGTGTTGGGCATCAGGTGGGTGCTCACGTATCTGTGTCGGCTAGAGGCGTGTTTGATAGGTCGAGTTGCGCATGGTAGAAGCAGCGATGTCGCTGGGTTGGGTCTACAACAGCGATATGTCCATCGTAGAGGAGCCGGCAGGTGGGAGGTGTCGGGAGGTTGGTGGGTCGGTAGTGGTGGGGCAGGCTTGGGCAAGTGGGAGGTGTTGAAGCAGAATGCCTTCGATCACCACACTATGACCATGAGTGTGGTGATACAGAATATGGAGAGTGGGGAGGCCTACGTCTTCTGCAAGGGCTCCCATGAGGCTGTCCTGTCGAGGTAAGGGTACCAAGGGGTCTTTGAGCCTCTGGTTGGAGGCGGTAGCGCTTTGATCGCAGTGCTGGACGGGGCGAGTGTAGGTGCAACTTCCATCGTGGGGAGGAGAGTGCAGGATCGGATACTCGTGAGGTCTTCGAAGGCCTCGTGGTCTCGGCGGCCGAGCAGTACGCTGCTGAAGGGTGCTATGTGCTGGCTATTGCTGCTCGGAAGCTTAGTGGGGGGTCGAAAGGTGAGTCGGTTGTGGTATGGATGGAATAATTCTCTGTATGTATAATCAGATCGATCGGCCTCTCGTCAAGAGCTGGAGTCGGGCCTGTCTTTGTTGGGACTGCTGTTGTTCCGCAATGAGCTTAAGCCGGACTCCAAACGCCATATTGAGTGCC